GGGAGGGGAGGAGATTATACAAAAAGTAGAAATTTAGGAGTTCCAAGCAGGCCACCCATCTGTATGCAGATTATGGCTAAACTATAATTCTTTTTTTCTTTTTAATGAGGAGTCATTTTAAATGAACAATATTTTTTCATTCTCCAGCTGCTTGTTTTATAATTTCCATAATGTGTTACATTAAAGCCAATCTGTTTCTTACACAAAATATAGTTTTTGCCTAGACCTTGCTTTGGAATATTTAAGGACTCCTGACACACCTTCATAAATCTGTTCTATACTCCAAAAGCTTTCAAAGGAATATAATCTTTAGTAAAGGTGGTGAACACTTTTTTTAAAAAAGCCACTAAATTTTACTTTTAAAGCCCCTTTCCTTTCTAGTCATGTGACTCACTCCAATTCAATTTCCCTGCTGTTTTTAACCTAGAAAGTTTCACCAAATGAATCCACCGAAGCTGCTCTTTCAGAATCCTCACATATCCTTTATTGAATCTAAAAAAAGACTTTCAATGTTCTTTTCTTTATCCAGAAAGTCAAAATATAACATGTCAGAATATAAACAGTTTAGATGTGGTCCTTTGACTATCTGAGTGTCTTCTGACAAAGCAAAAGGGGGGAAAGAAGGAATGAGCAGAGAGAAGAAAAGAGGGAGGGAAGAAGAATAAATATCAAAATATTAAAGAAATGGTCTTTAAATGAGCACTTCAAAGGGCCTACACAGTCTGTTAGCAAATGTATTAGAATGAAACAATTAATATTTTTTAAATGGACTTACTATTTATCATGTCCTCTTTTTAAACTTATTTTTGTTAATATCCACATTTCTAAAGACAAGAAAATTTTCCTTACTTGCAGTATGGATACAACTATATAATATAATAATGCATAATAGTACCAAGAGGCTAGAGCCCTCTGTCTCCACTGGGTTGGATTTAACCTTAGTCAATGCAAAATTCTGTACTATTCCACTCTCGCCCACTAGGCAATGGCAGCAAATATCCACAGCAAATGCCATAAAGCACTTCAGACGTGAATGAACATCAAGGCTTAGCTGGTTATACTAATCTTTCTTCACTGCCCCAAATCTAGCTTTTAAAAATTCAGACTTTACTTTTATACAACTATTTTTCACATGCATTTATTTTTAAGAACTAAAACATTACCCTAAAATATACTTCTAATTTGCAAAGCACTGCTTTAACATTTATTTCTATGTACATCTTCCACACAACAAAAGTCAAGATTATCTGTCCAGTTCAGAGGCCTGATGGTAGTTTTATTAAACACAATTAAAATCACTCCATTTGTGATTTTTATGGAGGATGCGAAAGTCTGTCTAAAAGTCACCCAAACAAAGAATCAAATACACCCTCAGATTCTTCATTCTTTGGAAGAAATTGTGTGGGCTCTTGTGTGCCTGAGCTATAAAACCTTAGCTGTAATACTCTGGTCCAGAGCCCTCACTTCTAAAAGTCACCTGAGACTCCACACGTGACCCAGAACAAAGCAGCAATTTTTCTGAATCATCACTGTGCCTTCCGGTCCAAAGGTCCCCTATACTTTGAGACCTTGGGGACAGGGTTTCAAATTGGATATAAGTCTCTTCTGCCAAATCACCTTCCCAGAAGGATTCTGACTTCCATTGCAGCTTGCAAACTTTGTACAACAGGAAAAAAATCAGTGGCAAGGAAACAACGCAGGCAGTGCCGCTCACCACAATCAGCAAGGGCTCTTGAGAAGGGCCTTCTTCAGCTCTGTCGGTAGAAAAGGTGACGCACTGGTCTTCCTGGGGAGGCACTCCTTTGGGACGGACACATGCTATGTATTGCCTCCCAGGCTCCAAGCCATCTATGGTTACTTGGTTCTTGCTGGAGTCCGCGTTCAGCAGCAGCAGGTCCTTTTCGCCGCGCTTGGAATACAACACGGTCACCTCAGAGTCATGCGAGGGGTTGACGGTGTCCCACCTCAAGGTCACACTCTCTTTGGTCTCACTGACCGCCCTGAGATTTTCTATTGTGGTGTTCGTCTCCATAGGCGCTGTTCGATCCAATAGTGCCAGCTCCTCTTTTTTACTTGCACCAGCTGGGGGAAGCTTACTTCCCCCCATCTCCACCTCCTTTAAATTTCTTTTCCCATCTGGATGGAGCTGGAGTGGCTGCCGGCTGGCCGTGGTGGTGCTTGTTGAAATTTTAGGGCTTAGAGCTGTGGTTGAAGAAACAGTGGAGAAGAAGAAAGGATGTGAGGAGAAGGAAACAGCAGAAGGAGGAGAGGAAGCAGAAATAGAAAGAAAAGTGGAAGAAGAGGCAGAGAAAGAAGAGGAGGAGGGAAGCCAGGGAGGTGACGATGACCCGCGTATGGATGGCGACCTTCTAGATCCTGGCTGGACCGCTCGCTCAGGGTGATCTCTGGCTCTTCTTTCAGAGGTGCCTGATGCTACCGTGGTTGTGACAACACCAACCACTGTCACAGTAACCACGGCTTCTGACATCCCAGCCAAATTTTTGGCCTTACATTTGTAATCCCCAGCATCCTTGTACGAAATGCCTGTCAGGCTTATTATGGACCATCTGACTCCTTCCCTTGGAGATTCCTGAATTACTGGAATAAAAAAGTATATAACTCTGTGAGGGGGGGATAAAGGAAAAAAGCAACGTGCCAACTGAGAAAGAAGCAACTATTTGGTTCTACATGCACCCCTTTCCCATAAGCCAAGAGGGAAAGGGCACACAGCAAGTCCCTGATGGCAGGTGATGGTTCCGTAAAATGCCTACATGAAGGTCTAGGTCATGCCAGGTGCCCTGAGTATATGGGGAGTTGTATTTTTAAAAGACACGGTACTGTGAATTGGGAGACTTGATTTTAGTAAACTTTTGTCCACTAAGTAATATTTAATTTCAGACAAGTCAATTCGTGTCTTTAGGCCTCAGTTTCTGTACTTCTAACT